ATAGTTTCTTAAAAATTTCAAGAAGGGTATTTTTATAAATTTAATTTTAAAATCTAATCATCATTCAAAAAGTCAAAAAAATCTTTTTTAATTTTAAATTGAGTTTTGGAGAGATTTTTAAAAAATGAAAAATTTATATAAGGTAGCAACCTTAAAATGTAGAGTTAAATATGCACATAAAAAATCCATCGAAAGCGGTTGCTTTAATATTTAGAAACCCTCTAATTGATCATCTCGACTCGAGATGTATGTTTATGAAAAAAATAAAGATTTTAAGTCCCATAAATAGTACATCTTGCAACACATTATCTATACCGTCTATTTTCAAGTTTTTCATATGTTTATAGATCTACTTGATTTTAACAATTTTTTACTTTAAAATTATATAATTAGATACAAAAATATTTTTTTTGATAATCCTTAGAATTTTTTACACCAAGGTTATATGTTATGATAAATTTAGAGGTACGCCTTAATTGGATCGTTTAAGTTTGAAACATTATAGAAACCACACCTTTTTTTTAAAAAAAAAAAAAAAAAAACCAAAATACATTTTCCAATGTACATGGAATATTTATAGTAAAAATTTAATTTTGAACATGTAAGGGTATTTTATGGTAAATAGTTTTGGAGTACTAAATTCTAGGCTCATCATTAATGTGTTTTATAATAAATAGATGGGTGTGTATACATGTATACTTTATTTAATGTTTTTTTAGATCCCCTCTATATCTCTGTCCTATAAATCCCTATTTTAATTTAATTTAATTTAATTTTTAATATCTTTGGGACTACCAATTTGGACCCCATTCATATCGCTAGATCAATAATCTCACATGAATATATGGGTAAACGATTCAGCCCACTAATTAACACTGCTTTCCGGTGTTTAAAGAAGGGAAAAGTTCATATATGGTTGCAACCTTAAAATGTAGAATCACAGATGCACCTCAATAATCTATCATAAATGTTGTTTTAATGTTGAAAAAACCCTCTAATCAATCATCTCGACATCAAGATGCATGAATATGAAAAAAAAAGTTTTTGAGTCCTGAAAATAATGCATCTTGTAATACATTATCTAGACCGTCCATTTTCAAGATTTTCATATATTTATTGATCTACTTGATTTTAACCATTTTTGGAATTTAAAATTTTCTAATTAGGTATGAAATAGATTTTCAGATAATACTAAGTATTTTTTATAACAAAATTACATAAAATTTTAAGGTGCGTCTTAATTAGACTGTTTGAAGTTGCAACCTTATAAAAACCACACCCTTTAAAGAATGGGTAACCCGATCCAGAATTGCTCATACCGCACCGGATCTACATGAAAAACACAACGTTAGATAACATCATTAATCGCCCATAAGTAGGAGACATTACCCGTTCAATATTGCTTTTGACGTCATGAAACCGGGTTGGGCACTTCTAAAATTATTTTGAAAACAAAGGGCTTCCCAGACTAACTACGTGGAGCCACATCATTAGCTTCGCAAGTACTAAACAGCTATTCATTTCATTCACGTGGATACCATTACGGTAACTGTGACCTGTTTTACATATATTGAACTTCAAATACATCTTCGACAATTGCTTCCTCCTATTTACTTCCCCTACAGTTGCTTCCCCTACCTTCTAGCCGCCCAATTTTGATAAAGTGAGTCACTCACCGTTTGAGTTTAGATCTGATATTTCAAAGTATTTTATTTTTACTTTTTTTATACAAATTGTATGAATATGAAATTTGATATGTGTCATATTTTCATTAGGTGCACCTATCAAAATTATTAAAAATAATTTTTTGATAAAATATAATGACCAAAATACCCTTTTAAACTTTCAAAGGTATTTTGGTCATTTTATTTTATTGAAAATATTTTTTTATATTTTTCACTAGTGCAAGTTTAATAGGGGATTGGACATCCAAAAGTTGGTGTCAAAATAATTTATAAAATAAAAATAAAAATAAGATAGTGTAGAGACATGACATCGTGATTGAGGCAATCTTAATCCTCCATTCAGAATGGACTGGTGGATAAGGGGAAGTATATAAGTTTTATGCTGTACGGGGAACATAGAAAGCGTACTCTTTCAAATAGACCCATTAATCTCTTTCTTTCTCTCTCTCCTCCCCCATCACCACCCAAAATACCCTATGTCTTTCTCTACATATAGTCATATATTATTAAATTGTAATTATAAAAATATGGTTGCATTAAAATTATATTAATATTATTATGTGGAATGAATATAATTATAGTAAAATTGTTAAAATATTTAGTATAATTATGTTAAAATTTTTATGGCTATATTAAATATTTTATTGTTATAAATACATTAAAACATCACATAATTTAATATATTAAATTGCTATGTTATTTAACAAATTAGTATTGTTACATAATCTTTATAGAATTAGTCTAGATTGTAGTTTTAAATAATATATTTTAAATTTTACAAATATTAACAAATAATTTATTGTAAATTTGTTATTATTATAACAACTCATTTTATACAGTAATAAAATTTGATATAATTTTGAATTGTATTACGTTGTATAGAAATTCTTGAATCATGTTTATTATAATAAATAATTATATATTAGTAACCAAATCTTGTACTTTATTTTAATTATACATCCAGACGGGAAAACAACGTCTCTGTATTCACTTATTTTTACAAAGTAACTAAAATACATAATATATCTCTCCTATTTCTTTTAAAAACTAAAATAATACTATTTTTAGAGATTTACGGTGATTTGTTTTTAAAAAAATTGAGACAAAAATTGTCGATTCTGCCGATTGTCCAAACCTATCCACCGATCCAACACGAGTATGGGTGTGTTCGATTCGAGTCACTGATCCACTTTTTTAAACCTTGCTACTTTCCAATAAAAGAACATATAGGATGACATCTTTTTTATCTTATAACTTAACTTTCATTAATGAATCATTCAATTGTAAATCAAGAATAATTAATTGTTAACATATCCCATTTGTTATTAGGAAGAGGAAGGAAATAGCAATTAGATTCATCATGGTTGAGGGCGAAATTATCGACATGTGGAACTTAAATTCAAATCAAATTGTGATATTAATTTGGAGAAATTATAGTTACCCCCAAATTCAATTTTCTAGATATTTTAGTCTCAAAACTTTTTGTATCTCACCCTAAACCCCTATATTATTTTTTTTTATATTTACCATCTAAATAAAAATGTCAATAATTCAAGACAAAAATACCCGTACTTTTTCTCTTCTCCCCCTTTTAGAGTCACATGACACTCTCTCTCTCTCTCAAAGTGAAAACCCATTGTCTTTCTTTCTATATCTCTCTTATTTGCGGTAATGCGGTTCAACACTTGTTTGTACCGGACCACAAAAACTTTTGGTCTGGCACCTAGTGTGCGGACCACATTGAGTTCTAATAACGTGGCTTGTAATGCGGTTTAGCACCCAGTGTGCCGAACCGGGTAGATTTGAGTTAAGTGCTGGACCAAAATTTTTTTTGCCGTTTGGCACCTTTTTGTGTCGGACCCGCAAAAAAATTTCATTTCGGTATTCTATGTGCCAGACCGCATTACTAAAAAAAGAGAGCGAGAGAGAGGAGACATGGGTTTTTAGATAAGAGAAAGAGAGGATATGGGTTTTTATTTTGAGAGAGAAAGCGAAAGATAGAGAGGGAGAGAGTGTGTGTGGGTAGAGAAAGAGAGAGAGTCATGTGACCCCAAAAAGGAGATAAGAGAAAAAGTAAAGCATTTTTGTACTAAATTATGGACTTTTTGATTTGGAAGGTAAATACATATATATATATAAAAAAGATAGTATTGGGGTTTGGGGTGTGATACAAAATTTTTGAAAGATAAGATATTTGAAAAGTTGAATTTGGTGGGTATTTACAATTTTTTTTATTAATTTTTTGTTGCAATACAACTTAGTTCCCATTATTATTATTATTATTATTATTTTATTATTATTAATTTTTTTTTTTCGGAGGAAGGGATAATTGTCCTCGATTGATTGACCTTTTCAAGGAAGCAAGCAAGCTGATGGACTATCGTGAGCTCATGACAAATACAAATATATAACATAGAGGAAGGTACTTTTTTTTTTATTTAAAAAAGAGGATGATTAATATTATGGACTTAATTTATTTGTCAGATAAAGAGGTGTAGTCGCTAGGATTACGAAGATAAGCTTCTTTTTACATTCTGTCACTCTCATTGCTTAGTCACACGCATGCTCCTTTTGCTCATCAAGTTCAAATTCGTTTGTCCAATAATAAGTGGATGAGGTTTCGATGAGGCCTAGACTTTATGAGAATAAAATAAAACCTCACTGAAAATCCTAGTCCGTAAAGTATTTTAGGCAACAAATTTTTAAATGAAAGTTATAAAATCAATTTTCAATATTGATAATAAAATTTGAAACAGGTACAAATGTTGCGGATCTAGAAACAATTATTTTTATAAAGTTTAGATAATTTATTACAATTATACTATTTTTAGAATTTAAAATCCTAATTTTTTCGCTACCATAAAAAATAAAAATAAAGCGCATCTTCAAATAGTGTTGAACAATATTGATTCTATACTAGAAATCCTTGTCATAGCTTGAAAATATATTTTCATCTCTAATTATAAAATTTAAAGCTTAAAAAATAGTGTAGATCAAACATATATATGAAAACTTGAAAATCTTGAAATTGATGGTCCCAAATGTGTTCCAAGATGTATTATTTTCAAAACTTGTAATCCATTTTTTTCTTATGTCCATGCATCTCGATATCGAGATGATCAATTCGAAGATATTTAGGCACCAAAACAATTTTTTCTAGTGAAATTTTTGAGGTGGGCTCTTATTTGATTGTTTAGAGCCTCGGCTCTATATAAGCTTTTCCCTTCCATAATTAATTTTTGAAGTCATAAATGGTAAAAAGTTTTTTGCGGTTATTATGCATCTTCTGAAAAGGCCTCGGACACAAAGCAAGTCGTTGGCTTGTGTGCATCTTCGTGCGGGTGGTTGCAGAAGTTAGGGCAAGGACAAAGGGCAATTTCTTTTGATAGTTTTCTGGTGGTTCAAAACGGGCAAAAAAAAATGGGGATTCGTGGGACTGAAGAACACTGTTTCATTGTCTCATGCTTACGTTCTCTTATTTGGAGCTCTGTTAGGTCCTCTTTCGTCGTCTCTCACAGGGGCCAGCGGAAGTGGTGACGCCATGGCCGGAGGAGTAGGCTGCTCTTGAAACCCTAGCTTCTTGCTTTCTGAGTTGTTTTTCGTTTCGCCTGCAACTGTTTTTTCTTTTTCTTTTTCTTTTTTTGTATCAGAAACAAGGACGCGAGGAGACGATGGAGTTGCCGGATATTGTTGGAATAGCTCGCAGTTTGGCTGTTATGGTCAGAATTCAGGGGCCTGTAAGCTCGTTTCTCTGGCTTATGTAATTTGTTCATTTGCTTCTTGTGTTTTAGGAGGGGGTTGAAGATCGATGACTCCTCTCTCTCTCTTCTCTCTCTCTCTCTGTTTTGTAACTTGAGAGTGAACTTTCCCTTCTTAGGATCCAAAGGGTCGGAAGATGAGAAGACATGCTTTTCACCATTCAGAGTAAGTTGGACTCCATAATTTTGGTTTTTTTTTCTTTTTTGATGTTGATGCTTGCTTGATGGGCTGAATCCTGTTGAAGTGTGAGAATTGAGAGTAAGAATTTCATGTAATTGGTGCTTCCTTCTCTGACCTTTGCTATTGAGTATGGAGGTTTTGCACTCAACAGTGTTTAAGGAACATAGCTTAACCAAAGTAATAAGAATTATAAAAAGGAACATGGCATGTCTCATCCTGAGCACCTAACCTGTGGGCTGCCATTTTTACTATTATCTATATTTATCAAAGTCAAACAATTCTCAAAAAAAAAAACAAAAAGGCATGTAATGCCTTAGAATGAGAAAATTCTTGAATTGTTTTTTTTTAAAGCATTACTGCATATTATTCAAAAAAAATAAAAAATACTATGTCCGATGCTTGATAGTCAGGTTCAATCCTGTAGATCTATCAGACTTGAAATGTGAGCGCTTGGCCGGTGGGCTCAGTCTTGAATGACAATCAGACCTGAAATATAGGCGTATATATAACTGGCCCTCTCTCTCTTTCTCTCAAGAAACTTGTATACTTGCAAGCGCCATGAATTTGACTAAATATTTTGTAGTGATGATGAATAAGAGAAGTTGTCAAATTATTTGGCCTTTTTAGGCTTACCTATCTTAGAATTCTGGGCAGTGTTATTGTGTCATCATTATAGGGTCTCTAATTAGTGAATCTAATCAATTGCAGAACATAACTTCCCTTAAAGTTCAGTCAGGGGAGAAATGCCATTGTGTTGTTCTTACATGCTTGCTTGGGTTTCAGGTCGGGGAAGACAGCTCTCTCTGCATCAGGTTTCCTATTGTCTGATTCATTTGGTGAATTCGCCATTTGCAATAATCTCCAGGGGCTTGATCATCACGGATCATCGGCGTCCACTCTGGTTGTCACTAGCGCATCCATTGTGGAACCTTTTCTGTCGGCCCAACATCAATCTACCAAGTCAAAGGTTGAACTTTTTCTCTCTCAGAACTTAATATCTTCATTACATGCAAGGTTTGGTCTATTTGATTGTGTGGTTTCAGTTTGGCTTGGCTTGACTCGGGTCTAGCCAAATTTTGCAGGGAACCCCTCAGCTGATTTACGGGGCAGAGATCGATGTCTTGGTTGAGGTATGTTCTATAGTCATTTAATTCGGAGATATCCCTCTTGTATTCACCATTTTCTTTTGTTTATATATAATAAGGATTTTTTCTTATCTGTGGATTAAAACATGTTTTACAGATTAAGAGGAAACCAGGGGATAATGGCAGGGAAGAAGATCATGAAAATCCTTGTTGGATGCAATCACATCTCGTCGCCTTGGTAGGATTTGCAGCTTTTCAATTACATCTTACACGAGATTGCTTTGCTATGTCATCTTGTAGAATCACTAATGATTTTAAGTCGTATGTCTCTCTTTGTAACTTTGGTTAACAATTTGGAATCGTGTAGCCGACCGTAATAGTTGGGAAAAGGTTATGATGATGATGATGATGGTTAACAATTTGGAAGTTGACATTATTTCCAAATTGTACGGAAGGCAAACAGATGTATGTCATCATTTTTATTCTCATGCTGGATCTCTTGTATGCTTTTTGTATTTTAATAGTGACTATGTTGTATGTTTATGCCTCAAAGCATTAGTCTCTCCTATCTAATATAACTTTTTAGCATACTAAGTTATAGGGTGTCTTGCAGGTACGATTGCTAGGCTTTAAAAAGTTGGGAACACCTGTGAAAATCTAAGTGTGATGGTATTGCACAAGGGGCCAAGTAATGCTTCCTGAGTGCTTCTCACATTAGGATAACCATTTTGTGGCTTTGCAAAAAGCCATTACATTAGACAAATGAGCCTCTTTTTCCAGTCTATATTACACTAGTGTTTCCTTTGGTGCTTGTTGCTAATAAACGGTTCAATGGAACTCTTATACTGATTGTGGTATAAGGGAGAGACAGAGGGATTAAATATGTTTACAAATCACTTCCTTTTTTTTAATATAAATTTGAGTAAGGGAGATGAATTCTATTGCAATGAATTGCATTTTAAATTTCATTTGACTATAAAATGAATATAATGGATAACTATAAAATGAATGTAATGGATAGCAAACACTCAGACATGAGAGAGGTTCTCAATACTCATTTATTTATTAATATGATAATAAAAAAAAAATTCAATACCACTATTTTTTGAAAATCTAAAAAAAATTAGATTTTTAAGAAATTTTAGTAATTTTTTGAAATTTTTTAATGCCGGATCTTGCCAATCCGACCGATTCTCTGATCCTTATTGCTGATCCAACCCAATTTTTGGGATGGACGATCTGGGTGACCGATTCTTTTTTTCAGAACTTGGGTCGTGGGCCTCATGGCTATTGTTTGGCGTATTTGTAAGGAGCGGAATGGTCATAATTCGAGATCAAGAGGTGCACAAGTTGATTCTCGTGGAGAGTGTTAGGAATATGGTGATCGCTCTGGCTTTGCTTCAATCAGAATTTCGTTGTTTCTGGGCAATTTACTTGGGTGAGGATTACTTAGTGAAAAGAAAAGAAAAATTTGGTCAAGGATTGGTAGATTTTGGCCTTATCAGGTCCATTCTTGTTTCAATCAAGGATAGTTTGGGTTGCTCTCGTGATGGGTACTACTAAGCTAAGTTTTGATTGATATTCACAAGTTAATCCTGGACCGGCAGGTAGTGGTGGGATTTTTAAAGATGAAGACAATAGGAATCATAGAAGCTATTTGGGTCAACTGGGATATGTTATTCTATATTAGGGAAGGCTTGTACTTTGGTTTCAGGTTTATGGATGTGCCATTTCCATCTAGGGATCCATTTGTAGTAGAAGGATCTTGTTTGAATGTCATAAGATGGGCCCATAAAAGAGTTCTCTCTTCTGTGGATGGTGGCTATGATATTTGGTGAGATCTTTGACATTTGTGACACTAGGTGTGTGACCTTTTTATACATGCTTAGGGAGCTAACCATGAGGTTGATACCCATGCGGGGTTCTTCAAGAGTCACTCTACATTGACACAATCTTAGTGTTGGAATCCATGGATGTTGTCTTGTTATTTGATATTTGTTTCATGTTTTTGAGTTTCTTTGTGATTTTATATTAGTGATAAAATTTTTAGTTGATGATAAAAAATTTGTTGTGGCTATATTGTTTACTTGTAGATTTGCATTTGTCTCTTAGGCAATATTTCTGAGGAGGCAGATATCTAATTTTGGGTTCAATAGTGGTGGAGTTATATGCTGCTGCTTATCTGAAGTTCCTTCAGTTTTTATATTTGTCACATGCCTTGAGAATCTTAAAGAAAGTTTATAATATCGCATGGTATATTCTATTTCATCTTCCAAAACTACATAACTCTTATTGACTAAAAAATCCCATGATTGAGGACTCTTACTTGGATTGCTGCCCTAATACTGGACATGGTTTGCTGTCTTAGCACTGGACCTCAATTCTTGTTACCATAGTGGCTAGGCTTGAGACAGCCTGGTTTGAAAGAAGATGGCATCATCATCCTACTTCCTATTGTGAACTGCAGTTTACCAAAGTCAAAGTTCACTTACAGCTTAAATGAACATAAATGGGAACAAGGAAGGACCTACTTTTTCTTTTTAGGGAGTATAGCATCCCCTTGCCCAACACCTACTTTTTCTTTTTTCTTTTCATTCCTTTTCATTTTTTTTTTTTTTCAAGTGAAGGGAGCTGTCAGTATGTTGTGCCCTTTTCCTTATGGTTTCTCCTTCAAGCATTAACACATAAGAAGTAAAATATATGTTGAAAGTAGATATGGAAAAGAATGAAATCACTCCTAATGGAGTTCTAAATTTTTGATAAGCAGTCGTTTCGTACTTGAGCCATGTTGGGGATAACAATAAATATTTTCTCTAAATATCTGTTAAACATCCCTAATCAGTTTGTGATATACTATCGTATGAGTATTGGACCATAGTGGGGTTCATAGATGTGTTTTTAAAATTTTCTCTGCAAAATTTCTCCACTGCATTGTCCTGATCTTGCTGAAAGGGAAGCATGGTCTGAGTTATGTCTTAGGTATTTTGAACAATGCCTAGCCATATGTTGTTTTGCAATATTTCAGATACATCTTTATTGTGCTTTGAACTATTTCCTTAACCTATTTTAACTGTCATTTAGGTGGATGTGCCAGCATCTTTACTTGCTCTCCAAACACTTTTGGAAGCTCATAGTGGTTCTTGCTCTCCAAATGCCTAGCCATATGTTGTTCTGCAATATTTCAGATACATCTCTATTGTGCTTTGAACTATTTCCTTACCTATTTTAACTGTCATTTAGGTGGATGTGCCAGCATCTTTTCTTGCTCTCCAAACACTTTTAGAAGCTCATAGTGGTTCATCAGAGCAAGGCTCATGGGATGTAGGTTGGTCCTTGGCCCCATTACAGAATGATCCACTGCCCATTGAGGATGCCTCTCGGACTCAGGTAGGCCTCTCAAATCCTTCTACTAATACCTGGCCTCTTCAACATTTGTTGCAAATTAAATGTGTCCTTTAATCGTCATCATGGTGTTAATGAATTTGAACGTTCATTATATCAAGAAGCAATTTAATGGTAGAACAGTATAATCACAGGTAATCTCATAGAACACAAATGGTTTTACACCTCTTGACCTTGATCCAGAACCTCTCCGTGCTTAGTTTTCAATCTGGTCAACAATTGATGTCAATGTTTCAAAACATGGACCCAGACTGAGAGTCAAGCTGGTCCTAAGTCATCAAGCCTTCTCTCTAAGTACCTAGTGAAGTTGGCCAACATTACAATAAAAATACATATCTTAAAAAAGTTAAATCACATATTGACTCTTTAAGTTTATAAGAAAATCAAACCTAGTATCATGACACTTTGATTCTTTTGGATTTATTTTCATTTATCAAGAGAATTTGCAAATGTCTCTCTCTCTTACACACACACACACGCGTGTATCATTATACAAAAGAATTGTGCAGCTGTAGGTGTTCTTGGATATGATCTGAGATTAAGTAGTTTTCTTATTTTTTCAGGATGGAAGTGGAGTCAAATACTCTTTCGAAATTCAGAAACGCAAGACCTTGGATGTTCCAAGCAATTCTAGATCCATGGCCATGTTGACCTCTAGATTAGCTTTACTCAGGCTCCCTGGGATAGTTTCCAAGGTTGAAATTTCATGCTAGGATTTCGAAGGGCTTTAGCTTCTGAATGGAGCAATTTCCTACTTTTCTCATTTTATGAGTTTTTTATTTTGATAAAGCCTAGAATTCTTTATGCATGGCTACTATGGATCAATACTTGCAGGTTTAAAGAAACAATGTTGAATCTATATTGTTGCAGGATTTGCCGCTTATCAAGATCGCTTCACCCAGCAAAAGAGGTGATCTTCTTCTGGTAGTTGGTTCACCTTTTGGTGTGCTATCTCCAATGCATTTCTTTAACAGGTAATGCCTTTGACTTTTCTCTGTCATTATTATTCTTTTGTAGAATTAGGCCTTTCAATGTTCTCATCAATAAATTTATTTGCCAAATGTACATTTTCAAATAGTAGTGTTTGTGTTCCATTTTCTATGAAAAGACTTTCTGTTGACCAAACTCTGATTTCCATTAGGATTTCAGGGACCTTCTACGCTGTTGAGGAACCTCTGATTTCCGTTAGGATTTCAGGGACCATCTACTCACAAGTTCTTGTTCACTTGGTCAGCGGCGGTCTGTTTTACAAAGTTGGTTCTGATCCTACTTACATAGAATGCAAAATTATAACAAGCTCCACTCTCCTTGTCCTTATAGATTCTTTAAATCAATTATTTCCTACCATAACTAGAAAAGGTTTCATCTCTTGGTCTTCTATGGTACCTTTTGCATAGTTTTGTTGTTTATTTTCTGGAGCCAGTCTTTTCTGTTGTTTATGTAACCTTTTCTGACCAATTTAAATGATACTTCAATGAAGCCAGTAATAAGGTGAATGAGAACTGTACTGCATAGTCATAATTTGGTTTCCCTTCCATCTTTTGTGGGTTAGAAGCTATTGCACATTAAATGAAACTAATGTCTTGCAGCACATACTTCACAAGGAGTTAATATATTGGCTTGTGTTGGTCATTTCGTAACCCCTATCATACTTTTTTTTCCTTTTTCTGAAATTTGGATAACTTCATTCTTAGAATTTTGAAGTTGCAGTCTGGAACAAGAATGCATTTCTTAGCTAGCCTCACAATTTGTCAAACTGGGTCCGCAACTTTGTATCTCCAGTGTTGTACTGATTGAATTTGAATTGTATATTCTTAATGGGTCTCGCTCCAGTTATCTCTGGTGGTTGGGGTAATTGATTCTCTTTAATCTGATCATTTGATTCTCCTGCTGCTTGGACCAAGTGTATCTGTGGGTGCTGTGGCAAATTGCTGCCCGCCAGCCTCTTGCAACCCTTCACTACTGATGGCAGATATACGATGCCTGCCTGGTGAGATAAGTAGTGTTTGTTGTCGTTTTCCTTATAATTTTAGTACTGTGGGATTTGCTTTTGCCAACATCTTTTGTTTATGCTCTCATGTCTTTCTGGGGATGTCTCATTTATCAGGAATGGAAGGCAGCCCTGTTTTCAATGCTTGTGCATGTCTCGTTGGGATATTAACCAGACCCTTAAGGCAACGAGCGGGGGGTGCAGAAGTTCAGGTAAACTTGAATGAAATACTATGCTGAGTCTTCTATTCAATAACAATCAATAATTTTATAACAACTTTTTCCATAGCTCTGTATGACAGCTTGTGGTCACATGGGATGCCATAGCAACTGCTTTGCGTGAGCAGCAACCAAACAGCATGACCATTCCAAAGAATGAAATGTTTGAGAAGTCTGAGTATGGCATGGAAGATGCGTGTTTAATGGGTGATCACCCAAGGGGAACAATTCTTTGTGTGGAACCTCTATCTTCTGGTTTGGACTCCCACTCACTAGTGGGGTTTGAAAAGGCCATGGCATCTGTTGTTCTTGTTACTGTTGGGGATGGGGCCTGGGCTTCTGGTATTATTCTCAATCAGCATGGCCTCATACTCACAAATGCTCATCTCTTGGAACCATGGAGATTTGGCAAAACACCCCAACTCAATGGAACTGATGAGGACAAATTAAGAACATTAACTAGACCTTTCAAAAGATCATTTCAGAGGCAGGAGTCTGGTGAATCTAAGGAATCAGGTCATGAAAGAAGCATGGGGAATATCCTTTCATCAGTTGGTTTCCCTTTCTACAAGAGCTATAGGAGAATACGAGTCCGGCTGGATCATAGGGAGCCACGTATGTGGTGTGATGCAAAACCAATCTATATTTCCAAGGGGCCCTTGGACATTGCTTTGCTTCAACTTGAACATATACCAAATGTTCTCCAGCCAATCATTCCTGATACACAGTCTCCCTCCCCTGGGTCAAGGGCATACGTTGTAGGACATGGCCTCTTTGGGCCACGCTCAGGTGAGGCATTCACTGAATCTCCATTTCTTTGATGGGATGTATGCTATATTTCAATTATATTTCAATTAACAATGGGCATCATCACCTACCAATTGTCCAATGATGTCATTAATGGTGTTGGAGTGTGGGACCCAGGAGAACATGACATGATTCCAATGGCGGGTCCTGCTCTCGCCCCATCAATTACTTTCCGGTATTTATTTGGATGATGATGTCCTCAATGGGCTATGTTTTTCCTAGTTTATCGGATGCTAGTATCCAATGGATCACAATCGACCAATGGCATGATGGACAGTGATGGGGAGTGAGACCCACCAGAAGAGGAAACGACCCCAATGGTGGTTCTCATCTCTCCATCACCAGCCATTTAATTTGGACACTGATGATCGCAATGGACTTGATTTTAAGAGTCCATCAAACTATAATGTGCTTTCTCTAAT